AAAAAAAAAAAAAAAAAAAAAAAAAAAAAAAAAAAAAGACTTCACACTGATAGAGACGTACTTAATAAAGATCACCAATGGGAAAAAACCGAACACTGGCAGTGGGGAGAGGTAACTGAATGAAGGGGTTAAACATTCTGACTGAAGTGCACAGTAATGAAACCTTTTAAATGGCCCAATAATGACCTTTGTTATAGTAACATAGCTAAAGAATTTCTTTTGAATTTGAAAAAGATTTTCTGACTTCAAAAAAGGGTTTAGAAATAAAAATGTCCTGAACAGAACCAAGATTAGAGACAATGAATGCCCGAGAAGTTCTAATAAAACTGATAGCCATCTCTAATCAGCAAAGCAAAGAAATTCTCAGATGGCTTATATGGCATTTTAAAATTTTCATATTAATCCTTCTTTGCATTTAACTGGCTAAAAAAGGTCAAGTCTTGGTTTCATCAGATTGTTCGTGATGAGAAAAATACATATAACGACATGACTGCTTCCTTAGAAGCTCAATTTGGCCACCATCATACAAACAACTGAGTCTCTAAAGCAGAGATTCCCAACCTGGGATGTCTAAATTGCTTGCAGGCATATCTTGACATTATGAAAAAACATCAGGATGAAATTAATTTCATTAACTTACATTCTCAAGGTCTTTTAAGGACAGAGCATTGTGAAACCAGAAGAGTAATAATTGGGTATAATTTCTAAAAGGATAAGATCATTGTCCTAAAGATCAACTGATGTGTACTTTCTACCAATGATCTTTCTCAAAATTAGGTGAGAAGGGAGCCCTGCAGTTCAGACTGTGTATGATATTAAAGAACAGGTTGTTCTATGGGCATCAGCCTTTATCTGTAATATAAGGCTTCTCTCTGAATCAGAAGTAGTACTCAAAGAAAACACAAAAAGAAATGACTGACACCTGCGCTCAAACATTAAATAAGAGATAAAAAGAAATCTATTAAAGAACCTAGGCTGGAAAAAACAGTAATACATTTTGTTGCTTTTAGAAAAGTCTCTCGTAAGTGTTGGCAAGGGCTATGAGGTCACAGCTGTAACGTGGACAATGTGGACTGGCCGGTTAGCTCACTTGGGAGAGCATGGTGCTGATAACATCAAGGTCAAGGGTTCAGATCCCAGTGCCGGCCAGCTACTGGAAAAAAAAAAAGACAGTGACTCTTGAGAAAACACCTGACCATGTAAACACCTGCTTGTGAGCCCAGGAAAAAGACTTCTCAAGACTTGTAAGTATGGAAAACTGGCGAGAATATTGAGAAAAGTGTACAAGACTTAGGAAGTATAGTTATATTTATATCTCACAGTGATAGAAAAGAAAAAAATTAAGATAAAGGCAACACATACCGTCTCAGCCATGGAATACTCAGAATTAAGTTTCTTTGCTAGGCCATAATCTCCAAGTTTTATCAGGTTTGCCTTAGTCAGAAAAATATTTAATGTCTTTATATCTCTGAAAAAAAGATGTTGCATATTAAGCCCATGCACATGATTGTTTTAATCTTATCTCCCATCCCACCAGCGATTAGTACAGAATAAAAATGAGTGTATTACTACTGCTTAGATTCTGTTATGGGGTCCCAGATGTCCCATACAGTGGTCATCACTTTCACATACACTTTAACTTTGAAGAGGGGACTTAAAGGAGTGAAGGCAGAGAATTAACTTCATCTTTTATAACTTCACAGCTTTGGAATGTATCCTATACCACTGAAGCCATTAAGAAAAGTTCAGAGGATCAGATGGGAAAAATGGTGCTCCAAGTAACTGTAATTCCTATAAGGTACACTACCTCTTTCACTACTACTTCTATCGTCTTGAATTAAGTGATATCAAGGCAATTTTAACACTTGGTTGATGTAAAATTTTCAACAATTCCTATAAGGTACACTACCTCTTTCACTACTACTTATATCGTCTTGAATTAAGTGATATCAAGGCAATTTTAACACTTGGTTGATGTAAAATTTTCAAATAATCTGTTAAGGTGAGAGAAGAGGCTGCATGTCCTAGCAACAATATGACTAGGCTATTTAGATCATCTAAATGAAGTCACTAGCTATTTTTCTAAAGATGAATTGACCATATGTAAAACAAAATTGTGCATGGCTCACACTCTGGCTTCCTTTACTGAAAGATGTGAATAAATGAGAACAATATACTTTGTTACTTTTAGAAAGAAAATAACACACAACAGTAGCCATTTAATAGCTATCAAGAAACAGGCTAAATGAATGAACAAACCAATAAAAAAAAAACCCCTAGAATATTATAATTAATCTCTGGCAATGGTCAATGATTCACTTAGGAAGGGTATAATGATGTGTTAATGTTCTTATAACATTCTCTTCTATAGCTACGAATAAATGGAAATCTGTTTTTTCCCCCACAAAGATGTGGTAAAATTGTATAATTAATTATACAAAATAAATAGGCCTTTATTTAAATTAAAAGAGCTTAGTTATAGAATTTTAAACAATTGCCAATCATTATTGCTCAGAGGAAACACTTAGTGTGAATTCCAACTGAACTAAGAAGAGTACTTCTTATAGTGCCTTCCAGGCTTTAATGATGAACTAATGAACAGAACTCTAAAATATCTGTAAAAGGAATGACTAAGTGGTACTTAGTTATTGAGAGGATTCTTCCTAGATCACAAATATGGGGTAACCTCAGGAAGTGAAGATAACATCCCTCATTACTCACTCTTCCCTTTCCTAATTATATCAACGAAAAACCCCTGACCGCTTAATCAAGAAAATAAAAGTGATGATGGGAGGTACCCAGGGTGGGGTTTGGATTGGTGGGGAGAAATCCATCCCATAAATTTTTTCATTCATTACCTATGAAGGATTCCAGCTTTATGGATACAGCTCACTGCTGAAACAATCTGAAATAGGTACCACACCACCATCTGCAAAGACAAAATAAATAATATTTGGATTGGAACCAAAAACCTCCATTTAAATAAACACATACACACAAACATACGCTAACAAACAAAACAAAGGAAGCTACACCAGAGATTATGATTCAACATGACTTGACATCTCTTGCTTGTAGGTGGAATAAGCAAAGAAAAGTGGTAGGGGTAAAAAGAAAAAGCAGGTCATAAAATAATTCCAATGTCATTAAAAAATGTAGTATAGTGAAGCAGACTTGTAGAAAGAAACCCAGGAAGAATGCAAAGGTATAGAAAACTGGGCATACCAGTCTGTTGTAATAGAACCAGGAAAGAAAGCCCATAGAGAATCATGATGTGGAGGTAAAACGTTAGGAAGCGACTATAGACAGCTTCCTTGTTAGAGGTTTCCTTTCTCATGAATATCAATCAGAGCCTGGAAGGAGTCTGAACAAAAGGAAAAAAAACTCTCTTCATTGTTGGAAGAGTAAATACAGAACTAAAATGCAAGAATTACAGCATTAAAATTCTAGCTTCCTTCCATAGAAATATGAATTACCTCTTCCTCAAACAACTTGTCCTTCTGACGCAGGATTTTGTCATACAGGTTCCCTCCTGAAATTAAATGAAAGACAGGTTTGATTTGCATAATAGAGATCAAAGCTTGGCTCCTGTATCTAATAAGGTTTTAACAGGTGACAAATGGAAATGAAGGATTCTGCTTCCTCTCAAAGAAAACTATGTCTTTCCTCTTGGCTTTTCACCTAGGTACAAAACTCTTCCCCTCTCTCAAGGACTATATCAGAAATATTCTTCAAAGATTTCCTTCCCTAACACAAGAAGCTCAATACAAACATAGGAAGCATGACATTTTTAGAAAAGATGAGAGTAAAGACCATTCCTATAGTACCCCAATTAGCGAAATATCTTCAAAATTATATAATTTTCTTTTCTGTAACTCCCTTTTAAGGAATGTGCAATATTTTTGTAATGACTCTTCCAATGTGACTACTAGAACATTTGGGTTACACCTATGATGCAATGTTTTGTATACAAAGGGTATATATTGAAAACTTTTCCTTTCTACTTCACACTGAAAAGGTTTCCCCAAATTTAGGGTCAACCCCTAGATGGTTTCTGATCATTACTCCCTTTACTAATTCTTTCCTGTGGAATAAGTGTGAATTTGCTTCTCTCCTTCCTCTGTCTAGTAAGACAGACTGCAAATGATCATGGTTCATCTTATTTCCTACTGTAACTTACGCTTTAGCCCTGGCTAGGTATTTATAACTTCTCTTCCTCTGTAATAAAGTAACTCAGAGTTTCAATAAATGTATCATGTGTCTAGTTCCTCCTAACCAGAAAGGAAGTTAACTTATTTAATTTTAAGGTTTCCGCTATTCTAAAAATTTCTAATATAATCCCATATATTTAGGGTTAGTCACAACCAGAAACCATCACGATATACCAGAGTCTAGACAAGAAAGTTATAAGAGAAGAATATGTTGGAACCTCTTAAGCATGAGCTCAGAAAAAGGCTTTGGAGGTTCTCTTGTGCATTAAGAAGAATAACAGTCAGTATAATATATATCACACACTTGCTACATATCAAATACTATGCTATGGGCTTCACATATTCATTTAACACAATAACCCTAGAAGGTAGATACTGATGTCAACAAATTCATTTAAAGATGAGGAAACTGAGGCACAGAGAAGTTAAGTTTCTTGCCCTAGGTTACAGAGCTAGAAAGTAGTGGAACTTGATTCAAAGTCTATTTTCTTAACAACGTGGCTATACTGCTGTCTTACAAGCAACATGGTCCAAAGAAATCAAAGATCAGATAAGTAAGGCCATGCTTAACTGTATATCATTTTCATTCACTTATGATCTTTAGACCACTTTTCAATAGGATAGCTTTAGCTAAACTCTCTATATATATATTCATATTTTAAAAAATGACTTATAAGATTTCAATATTATATTAAGTGGTGCCAAGCCACAGTAAGTCCCTAATGACCAACTAATGTCATTTCATGAGGAAAAACCTTGAAAAATAAATGTAAAATCCAACTGAAGAAATAATCTGAAGATGGAACTATTATCACAAGGGAGAATTTGAGTACGCAGGGAAGAATCCCTCTCCTTATTTTGCATTTCACTTCAAAACTCTCCAAGGCCTGAAATATTTCTCAAACTCTAGAAATCCATTTGAAGTTTTTATCACTCGTACTCTCTCCCTCATGGTAAGTATAAGCATAAGAATGTCTTGCTGGAGGAAGATCCATTGAATTCTACCTTACCATTACAATATTCCAGCTCAATCAGCAGGGTGGTATTGTCCATGAAATGATTGTAGTAGGCAATAATATTGTCATGCTGCAGCAGCGCCAGAATAACAATCTCATTCAAGGCATCACGACGTTCCTTCTCAGACAGTCGGGTCAAATCAACTTCCTTCCACACAACCAGTGAGTCATCCTGCAACACAGTAACAGAGGTGTCATGCTTACCTCTTGTTTGGCAGTGAATGAATCTGTAAGCCTAGAAAGACAACTTCCTAGAGGGGCTGAGACTGATTCCATTTTTTTCCCCACTAAACAGACGAATTATGTCACAATTGAGCATTACAAATTATCGCAGGACTGGGGAAAGTAAAGCATTAAGGTGTTACTTTGTTGCTACACTTAATTTGTATAATGTCACTTCCATGGGATGGGGGGTAGATCTCAAAGATTCTACTGAGGGACACTATAACAGACTGCTAGTCATGATGGGGATTGTGGTTGGGCTGGAATATTGAAGAAGTAGAGAACTGAAGAGCAGTTATCTATAGATGACCACAACTTCTTGTAAAATGGAAATATTAAACTTGTCTATAATCCTATAAAAATTTAGACTTCTCTCGTGATTTTCACTTACCCTTTCTGGAAGGGTATGAGAATAAGTCATGCCCCATTTTGCAACTCTGTAATCTCCTGTCATACTGTCATGTATCACATTTTCCTCTATTCATGAAAACTAACCTGCAACTCCCAGTGTCTACTCCCTTTGATAATACTTATAATTCTTTATTGACACTGCTTCTCAACTTAGGAGCATCCCCACCTATATAACTTTCCCCATCCTTCTGAATGCCCTTGCCAGGCCGTTAAAACTTTTGGGGGGAAAACCCTGAAGAACTTTTTACTGTACATTTATTCAGTGCAACCATTCCCTTAATTTCCAGAGCTCATACACTGAGACGATATTCGTCCATTCTTTTTCATTCATATACACAACCTAGATGCTATTTGGTTACTAGCATGGCTACCTTGTCTTCCCACTGAAATATAAGCTTCTAGAGTAGAAGGACTGCTTCTAATTAATGCTTTGTAAATTCACAGATCTAATAAATATTTGATGACTTAGATAATGCTATGCTGTTTTGGGAAGTATAATCAAATTTAACTCAAAACAAACCCAGTAATGAAGTTTAAAAAGATAATAATGGAAAGGCTTGGGCAAGGAGATACTGAGACTAGCTGTAGTCCAAGATTTACTCCTAACTTACGTTGAGCAAGTCACTTAAATATACTTAGTTTCTCTAACTAAAAAATAGGAATGCCAATGCTCATCTCCTCCTTTTCATATTGAGTGCAAATAAAAAAAACAGACTACTAAGAATAACAGTAACTCTAATATCATGCATTAATGTGGCACTAAGATGAAAAAGAATATACTTAAGAGTATTCTCTTGCAATCACCTCTCTTCTTCCCCATCTTTCAGCCTTAACACTGTACTGGCTTGGAACACATAACAAAACTGTAGATGGATCACTGATATATGAATCACATTCAGCAATCCCAGCAAGTTCTCATTAAATGTTCACCCTATAGCTAGAGTTTTAAGACTTTAGTGATCAAATCCAGTTTATGGTTACTTTTTGGAAGCAGAATCACCATTGCAGGGTTTTAGATCAGTATACATTATTAACTTGGGAGACAGTGATCCATGGACCTCTCCAAAAGATGTGCATATGTTCAACTGTGGATGGAGGGGGAGAAGGTTACTTTGTATACATTAGATTCTCAAAGGGGTCCTTGTCCCCTCAAAGGTTAAGAACCAATGGCTTAGAATATATCAATAAAGTATTTCCCATACATAAACGCTGAAACAATCACACGACGATCTTCCCAATGATCCTAAAGAAAAACCTCCAACTGAGTGATCACTTCTGAACTTAATGACAAAGACAGCGGAGTTGCCACCAGTGTGGGTATTTTGATGCTATGTTTCTCCTCCCCACCCTGACCTTGGAGATCTATACAGCATGAGAGAAAGGAAGTTTTAAGGCAATACCTCATATATTTACGCCACTTCAATTTACAGTGTGCAAAGCACCATCGTTTCACTCTCAAAATAACCTTTAAAAATAGAGATGATTATTAAGGTGGTTATCACTAAGCCAATTTTACAGATGAGGAAACTAACGCTCAGAGACAGTTTACTGTTTTGCTCTGGCAGTTCTCCGGGTTAAACAAAAATGACCAGTTAGTAATAGCAGTGATCTAACCAATTCCTAATGCAGGTGAGTTGGGAGGGTGGTGGAGAAGATATGTACACTGAGGGCCCCTAAACAATAAGCAAGAACGAGGCTCAAGACGCGGGGAAAGCCCGGAGCAGGACAGGACTGGAAAGCGGGGCCGAGAAAGAGGGCCTCGGCGCGGCCAAAGTAGGGGGCCGCTACCTCGGTGCGGCGGTACAGCGTGGCCTCCCCGAAGGCACCGCGACCCAGGACGCGGATGGGGATGTAGTGCAGCTCCTCTTGCTCTGCCGCGCCGCCGCCGGCTCGCGGCCCCGCACTGGCGCTGGGCCCCGGGCCCGAGTCCCCGCCACCCCCGGACTCGCTCCCAAAGTCCGAGTTGATGGAATCGCAGTGCCGTTCGTACTCGCCCAGCACCGACATGGCGGCGGGCGCGGGCCTTCAGGACCTGCCTGCGTGTCCCCGGCGACGCTGGCCGCGCTGCGCCTTGCTCGCTTCAGACACCGGCCCGCGGTTCCATCAGCCCCGCAACCCCGCGAGGCTCCATGGTGGCTCCTGCCCCCTGGCCCGGAAGCAGTTCTCAGTGCTTCCGGCCCGGCGGGGTTTTCTCCGCTTTCGCTTGCCCACTTGGGTTGCCCAACAGCCATCGCTTCCCGCTTTCGGGGCCAGCCGGGAAAGTGAGACCTCGGGCTGGGTTGGCGGGCGCGTGGTGGGGACCATGTGGACCCGAAGGGCTCCCGCAGGGACAAGGGCGTCACCGACGGGACTCCCTGTGGGATCTGTAGACCCAATCCCCGCATCCCTGGCCATGTCCCCATACAGCCCGAGGCCTGAAGGTCGTCCACTCTCACCTTGGCGTCAGAACTACCTCATGAGGGTCGTTGGGGAAGCAGTCCCTTGCAACGTTGGACAGTGCTCTTGTTTAGAGAGATATTATAATAATGATAGTAAAGATATTATAGCAAGCCGAAATACTTGCCTTCTCTCATCTTAGTCAGTGGGCCCAGCTCTTTCTCCCAGAGCCGCTCTTCCTCTTCCACACAACTCTCAAAATATTTTAAGTCAACTCTCCTGACACTCTCCTTCTCCCCCTTCTTTTTGCAGATTCAACATTGTGTTTTTCCATATCGTTGACCATCTGATCTCATGAAATATTTTTTGAACACTAGGTGCCAGACACTGTATTGGAGAATGGGAAATCTGCAATAAGATGCTCCCTGCCTTCAAGTCACTAAGAAAACTGCAATCCAGTGAGCAATACATGTTCCCTCAGTTATGTGATGTGGGGCAACTTCGAATGTCCAAGCTTGTTTTTTTTTTTTTAATCTATAAAGTTTTGGGAATATATCACAGGGATAACAGCTAACATCTACTGAGTTCTGGGCACTATGCTAAAAGTTTTCCATGTATTATTCTACTTAATCTTCACATTATTCCCATTTTACAAAAACTGACCGGTCCAGTACGGGCGCGACACTGAGAGTTGCGATCAGTTGCCGAACACGAAAAAAGACAAAAAGGAAAAAAAAAAAAGAAGCAAAAACTGAGATACTGAGAGGCCAAGTAACCTGCTCAATGTGACACAGCCAGTTAAGAGGAGCTGGTAAGCCAAACCCAGCAACCTCCCTCCAGAACTATGTAAGAGCAGGATGTAATGCGTCTAAGAGAACATGTGGCTGGAGCACAGGGTGCATGTGAGGTAGAAGCCAGAGATAAGGCCTCATGTTTTGCAGTTTAGTGTTTCTTGTGGGCAATGGGAAATTATTGGAGATTTTTAAATGGGAGTATATGACTAGTGACTATATGTCCCAATTTGCTGGGGAAATCCCAGTTTATACCTTCTTCCTCCAGCATAATAGAGCCTTCTTTTGCTTGAGTGCCCAGCTCATACAATAATAAACAATATAGTCACCTTAGATAAGAGCAAAATTATGTTTTACAAAGAACTCTGATGACAATGTGGAGGACAAAGACTGGAGGTGGGGAGACCAGTTAGGAGGCAATCTATACTCTTAAGAATAGAGGCAGAGAGAGTATCAATGAGTGAGGAGCAGGTCCTGATTTAAGAAATCCATCTGAGCAACATTTAGAACTTTGTGATCAGTGGGATATGGTTGGTGAGGGAGATTAAGAGTTTAGGGGACTCACTTCTAGGTTTTTAACTAGGTATATAGGGCTAGCAAATATAGGAGGAAGACAGAATTGGTAGAACAGGGTGGGAGCTGTGAGGGCTAATGAGTTCACATTCCTCTGGCCTCTCTATAGTTCATCAATGTTCCTTTTAAAATGATATCCTGCACTCTGCATGACATTTCACATCAGATGTGAATAGAACAAGGGAATTTCCATCTTATATCTGTATCCAGTATTTCTGTTAGTGTACCAGCCTTTATAGTGAGAGTCTGCTTATACTGTGCTTATACTTAACTGAATCTCTTGCTCTTTTCCACATCCAATCAAAATAATACAACCCTCCCATCCTATCACATCACTCCTTATTTTCTGCAGAATGCTTATCTATAAAATATAATGTCTTATTATGTTTACTTTATTCATTATAATATTAGCTCCATAAGAGCCTGGATTTCGCTCTCTTTTTCACAGTTATATATCATCAGTGCCTAGAAAAAGTGCTTAGCATTAAAGTAGAGGCTCAGGGCTGACCCCACGGCTCACTCGGGAGAGTGCGGTGCTGGGAGCGCAGTGGCGCTCCTGCCGCAGGTTCGGATCCTATACAGGGATGGCCGGTGCGCTCACTTGCTGAGCGAGGTGCGGGCGACACCAAGCCAAGGGTTGTGATCCCCTTACCGGTCACAAAAAAAAAAAAAAGAAAAAAAGTAGAGGCTCATAAATTATTTGTTGAACAAATAACATTTTTTTAAACCTAAATGTAAGACTGCCTGACTGATAATCTCTGTTAAACTTTATTCTGTTGGCTTCATTCCAGGGTTCCAGATTGTACAGGTATTTTTGAATTTTCAATTGACTAATTTAACAAACACTGAGCTGGGCCGGCCCGGTGGCGCACTGGAGAGTGTGCCGCTTGGGAGCACGGTGGCGCTCCCGCCAAGGGTTCGGATCCCATGTGGAGACTGGTTCCCACTCACTGGCTGAGCGCGGTGCAGGCGCAACACCGAGGGTTGTGATCCCGTTACCGGTCAGTAAAAAAGACAAAAAAAAAAGAGAAAAAAAAAAAAAACACTGAGCACCAACATGTGCCAGGCACTGGGTTAGAACAGAAGACAAAATAAACATGGCTAATACTCTCATGGAGTTTACGGTCCGTATAAGAGGAAATAACCAGGCAAATACAACTGTTTGTAATAAGTGCTATCAAAGTACAAGATTCTAGAAAGGCATTTAGGAGAGGCATCTTTCCAAGCCAAACTTCCTAGGTGAGTGAAGGTTTCCTGGAATAATATCCAAATATTTAAATTAGTGATGGCTAAACAAACTAGGAAAATCATTCCAGAAAAAGACCATTCCATTTACCACCTCCTATAAAGCAGAAGGCACTTTGAGGATAGTTATTGCTTCTTATTTATCTAGATATATTCCAGAGTTTAGCTCGGCTTGACTGTTAATTCTGCCATTACCTCTGCTACTCTATTACCTCTGTTAAAAAAAAAATAGGTGCTCAATAAATACATATGCTTTTTGAGTTGAAAGAATGGAAGTAAATATATATACATAAATAATAAATATAAATAAAATATAAATAAGTAAATATATATATTTATATATTTTGAGTTGAAAGAATGAAAAACACAATTACTTAAAATCAGAAGTATTGACTTTCATTCAGAAAAGCTGAATAAGTTTCAGCCAAAGCTTAACAATTCATTTTTCTGGCACCACTGCAATGAGCAACTAAATATTTTTCTATAACTTGGTTGGCCTGAAATTGTGAATTGTTCTAGTTATAATGCATAGATATCATAAACTTAAATAAATGTCCAACTGCATCTTAGAGAATACAGAAACATTCATGCTGAATTTTTCATTATATCATATAGAACTGAAACAAATTATCTTACATTTGAATATTCCTAAGTTCAGAAATACTCAACATTTATTCTAAACGTGTAACTGATTTTGAAGCGCCTTTGGTCAAAAATGGACTATTCCCACATTTTAACAAGTGAATAGTCAGAATGCTACATAAGTTCCCACTTTGTAAATGGCAGTTTCCAAGAAGCCAGAGTTACTGTAAAGATTAAGGAATTCACTAAAAACCAAGCAGAGTCTATATGTTCACTGTCTGTTACAGTAGCCATTAGCTACCTGTAACTACTCAACACTTGAATTGTGGCTAGTCTGAATGAAGATGTGCCATAGCTGTAAAATGCACACTGGATTTCAAAGATTTTATATGAGAAATAGAATGTAAAATATCTCATTAATCATTTTTATATTGACTATATGTGAAATGATAATATCTTTGGTAATTTCACCTATTTATTTTTACTTTTTTAATGTAGTAAGAGAAAATTTAAAATGATGCATGCAGCTCACATTAAATGGGACACCACTGCAGCAGACTGAATAAATCATTTTCAAACTATGTATTATCACTTAACAAGTATATGATACTACTGAGACTATTAAATTCATTTATAAGTTTTGCTGAATTCATTCATTATTTATGTTCTCTAAAAGTAAAACATCAGTGAGAAACAAAACATTTTTATGTTAAAATATTTATATTGAAATATTGGGAAAATCACTATATAAACTATGGAGTCATTAATAAATTTTATTTGGCTATTGGGAGAATTGAGGTAGAGAATAAGATGCCAGCCAGGGAATGTGCAAAGCACTTCATGATGGCTCTTGGAAAGAAGCTTTGTGAAAAATGTTCAACTGTAAGTGAAAGGAAAAAAGAAAAAGGCCTTTACCTCCTGGGGTTGGGTTTTACACAGATGTGATGTGCCCAAAAACTAAGTCCCAAGGGGTTTGAAATTGGGAGGGGAATTTTAGGAATGGAGGGCAAGGGAGAAGGCTCTTTGTGAGAATAATTTCAATAGCAGTTTCCAAAAGTAGATGTGATGTGCCCAAAAACTAAGTCCCAAGGGGTTTGAAATTGGGAGGGGAATTTCAGGAATGGAGGGCAAGGGAGAAGGCTCTTTGTGAGAATAATTTCAATAGCAGTTTCCAAAAGAGAGAAGTTACAGAGAATGCCTGGCTTACAGAACATTATTTGGTCTGAGAATGCATAATTAAGGATTATTAGTTATATATATATATATATATGTATAATTTTTATATATTACATATATAAAATATAATAAACTTTTACTACCTCACATAAACTTTATCCATCTGGAGTAAATTAAGGACAATATTTTTTCTCTAATTCATCAGTCATTTGCCATACTTTAAAATGTGGAAGGAATATGGAAGAATTATTGCCTATCTAGACAAAGAGGTACTCAAGAGTAACAGAAAAATACATCTGAAATGGTTTCTGCTAGCCTTTATTTGAGAAAATTTACACAAAAATCCCCAATCCAATACTTACAACTGTATCTGTATAAATCCCACATGCCTCTTTCCATTAAACAAACAGAAAAATAACTTTATGACAGAGGTTCCTGACAATGGTACAACAAAGCTTACTTAAACTGTATCATTCTCATTTACATTATATAGACCATTTTGAATAGTATGCTCAAAAATGGAGAAAAGCAGATAATATCGCTGTTTTTAAAGCTGATTTACTCTTGTACTAGCCTTTTTCCAAAGGCAAAAAAATTTTTTAAACTTTTTAGATAAAAATCAAAGTATAAAACTAATTAACTTTCAAACCAAAAGCACAAATGTCCAACTTGGGAGTTTTGGCATGAGTAAAAGGAAGGGACATGAAAGAATTTCATTTCCACAAAGCTTGAGTTTAGACTCATACTTGGGAACAAAAACATCAACAAAATATTCTCTTCTCTTCTGCTTTGACATTTTGTTAGAACAGAAGACCAAAACTAACAGAGCAGCTTTCATTGCTCCTAAAAAGGGGAAAGGCACCAGTCAGAAATATGAAAGAGTATCTTCTTAGGCTAATGGTACAGAATAGAATTTCACATTTAAAAGTCTAAGGATGAATCTTAACCCACAAATTTGTTTATTCTTTTCCCTACTTGGATGCACCCTCTCTGTCATTTAGTATATGTAATACCACACATAGACTTTCTCAACATCTGCTGCCCCTATGGCAAGGATTCTACTGCCAGATTCTCAGAAGTAGTACCTATCAATTCTCAACAGCAGATGGCAATGTTGCACAGTTAATGAGAGAACCACTTTTATGCCACAGAAGAGGAATACACAAGGAGTCAAAAGCAAGAAAAAGGCTTTTGGTTCACAGTAGCTGAAACATTAACAGAATAGCTTGAGATTTTTAACAACATAACTTACTCCCTCTTACACCTTCATACTTACCCAGGTCAACACAACAGTGTTCTCTGATAATTCCAATATTTTGCTTCTTTACTGCAAGCTACATGGTCCTAAGTCTTGTAATTCTTGCCATTGTGATTAGACAAGCTCTGTAACAATCAGCAGGGTTAAAAAGAAATTACAGAAAGGATAAACTCCTACCTACTTTCCTGGGAGATGTGGGAAAGATTTCAAATGATAGTATTTATCACAACTGTTTATGAACATGGTCATTTGTATCCACATTTTCTCTTATTCACATTAGTATTAGCCTTTAGGCACCTCATATTCCCACAGTGATTCTTGGCTTTGCTTTCACAACATGTATTTTCTAGTATTTGCTCTTTTCGTGACCCTCCTAGATGTCTATTTTATACCTTATATGTCTTAATTCTCTAGATAGAACACATAAGGGCAGGAATTAAGTCAGTGACTGGTGATGTGAGAAGAGTTGGTAAGTTTTACTTATTTTTCCTTGGTGGGAGTTATGTTAAAAATTCAAGCAACCACATATCTGACAGAAGACTTCTATCTAGGAAATATAAAGAACTCTCAAAGCTCATAAAAAGATGTTCAACATCATTTGCCTTTAGGAAAATGCAAATTAAAACCATCATGAGATATCATTACACAAGTGTATCCAAATGACTAAAAAAAAAAAAAAGTAATAGTACCAAACGCCAGTGAGGATGCAGAGAAACTGGATCAGACATACATTGCTGGTGGAAACGTAAAATGGTATAGCCATTCTGGAAAAAGAGTAGGGCAGTTTCATATAAAAATAAACATGTGCTTACCACACAGCCCAGCAATTGCCCTTTTGGGCATTTATCCCAGAGAAATAAAAATTTATGTTCACATAAAAACCTGTACATGGATGTTCACAACAGTTTTATTAGTAAGGGCCAAAAACTGAAAACAACCATATGCTGGGTTAATGGTTAAACAACTGTGGTATATCCATACCATGGGATACTACTTAGCAACAAAAAGGAACACACTGTTGATACACACAGCAACTTGGATGGATTTCAAGAAAATTATGCTGTGTGAAAAAAAAATCAGTCTTCAAGTTAAATATTGTATCACCACATTTATATAACATTCTAGAAATGACAAAATAATAGAGATGTAAAACAGATTAGTGGTAGCCAGAGGGTGGGGTGTGGGGGTAAGGAAGGGAGATAGATGGCTCTGGCTATAAAAGGGCATGGAATTGTTATGTATCTTGCAGTGGTGGACACATGAATTTATACATGTGACAGAATTGTATAGAACTAAATACACATAAAAGAAAAAGTTCAAGCAATTAAGCACAAATATTTTAATTGTCTAAAATGAAACTTTCTTGAGGTGTCATATCCATCACCCTTTTAAGAGACGTAAACATGAAAGGATGTCACCAGAAGCTACCTAAGCATTTCAGCTACGGGCTAAGAGAAAGTTAAAGGCGTTTTCACAAGGAAACCCAAAGAGGACAATCAGAATAAAATAAGTTCGACATGGTCGTACAAATCTTGGTAAAAGAACTAGAATGGAAGCCCAAGCTGGTAGAGCAAGAGAGAGAAGGAAAAAAAACATGGTTCAAGCAGATCACGTGAGGAAACCCAGTACAAATGCTGGCTTTGGCATTATCTAGGTAACCCCTATTTTTTCTCATAGGTGACTCTAATAATAGTCCTATTGTTGCAAAACCAGTCCAAAGCCTACCGAGTTAAAAAGAAGTCCCTCATTGACTTGTTGGGTATATGTGGTACCCCACATCCTCCCACACCAAAGGAGATCAGTTCTGGAAATAAGGCTCCAACGTGCCTTGATGGTGCTGTTGGCAGAATGCCTTAGGCCAGGCACATCCCAGCGATGTTCTGCTGGTTGAGATACAAGGTGGGAGGAGACTGTACCTCATTACTCAATCAACTTCTTGGCCTTGAAGAAGCGACGCAGGTAAAAGACCTGCCAGGTGGCTAGTCCAATGAGGCAGAACATTGAAAAGATGCTGAAGTACAGGACCCGAGTATTTGTTGACTCTTAAAAGAAAAAAAAAAAGCATTGTAAATGTAATGAAGTGAGCCTCCTCAGCTGGCTAAACAATGGCTGGGGGGAAAGGCAATTAACTAACTTCACTCTGTCCCTAGGTCTAACAGCAGGATTTCAGATAATTATTTTTAAGTTCATTATCCTATATATAAACATTAAAAACTATAAAGATTAGTGCTATCAATTTGATGCACTATAAGCTAACTGAGAACATGGTCAACTGCATACCACAGAAGACATTTCTATTCTTGTGAAAATCTAACAAGGTTCATTTACCTTTAGCAGCAACAACATCGAAGCAAGCACTTTTCCTTTCATACACCCCTCTCTGGCAAAACTGAGAAAAGGGTATACCAGAATTTAAAGTTTGGGGATCTGTCTCTTTCATGGTTCACTTATTGAGAAATAAGAGCCACGTTCCTCTCACCATTGGTATCACGCATCTCCTCCTCTCGCTTCTTCATGTAGGCAAAGTCATTAACGATAGATTCTGAAAGGTCTTCTAGGCGTCGTAGCTCCACCTCTAATGGTTTGAGCTTCTCAACTTTTGCAATCTGGAAGAGAAAGGAATTAGGAATCCACTCCCTGAAAAAATTGCTCTGGTTGAGAACACAAGACAACAACAACTTTTCAAAACTTTCACCAGACTTAAATTCTCTCCAGTCGGTCATTCTAACACATTTTAAAATTTGGGTTTCTTATTTTCCTTACAAACTATATCTTTCCATTTCAGACTTTTTTTATACTTTAATTTTGATTAAAACCTCTGTAGAAGTAATATAACACAGTGAGATATAAAGTAATATATGCTATTTTTGTAAGATTTCTGACTTTGATAAAGCACTTTACTTTGCCCTTCCTAGGTTTGCTCAAAAAATTGCACTGAGTTTTTCAGGTTCTTTTTTTTGTTAAGAATGACACAACCAATTAAAAGAAATCTCCAAGGATTTCCCTGCATACTGTGGAATGAGGGTGTGAGAAAGAAATAACTGTTTTCCTTTCTCAACCTAGACCACTACGAAATATCTAAGAATATCTAATAATTAGAGGCATATATCACATAAGCAAGGATTTCATTATTCTATGTTTCTTTCTTATCAACCTTAGATTATGATTTACTTTAAAATGGGTACTGGCAGAACTTTCCAGATCTTAAAACTCTTACATACCAATTGCTCTTAAGTTTCTTCCACATAGGGAATTCTTCAATAATTCTTTTTCTACAACTGCTTTTTTACTCTCTATTTACTGTACATTCTCTGCAGAACTCCCACTTTTTCTTCTATTTCATTCAATTCCCCTTTCTCTTTGTTATATGTTAACAGTAGTTAACATGGGATGAATGGGAAGAGTTTTTTTTTTTTTTTTTTTTTTTAAAAACCAATGGGTCAAATAAGAAATTAAACAGGACATCAAAAAATTTCTTGAGGGCCGGCCCGTGGCTCACTCGGGAGAGTGTGGTGCTGATAACACCAAGGCCCCGGGTTCGGATCCCATATAGGGATGGCCGGTTCGCTCACTGGCTGAGCATGGTGCTGACAACACCAAGTCAAGGGTTAATATCCCCTTACCGGTCATCTTTAAAAAAAAAAAAAAAAATTTTTCTTGAAACTAATGAAAATACAGACACAACACACCAAAACCTATGGGATACTGCAATAGCAGTACTAACAGGAAAGTTTTTTTGTGTTTGTTTGTTTGTTTGTTTTTTTTAAAAGATGACCGGTAAGGGGATCTCAACCCTTGGCTTGGTGTTGTCAGCACCACGCTCAGCTAGTGAGCAAACCGGCCATCCCTATATAGGATCCGAACCCGCGGCCTTGGTGTTACCAGCACCGCACTCTACCGAGTGAGCCACGGGCCGGCCCAAATGGGAAGAGTTTAAGGATGATTTTTATGTTGTCTTTGCTTATTTATATTCTTCGCTGAACGTGTGAAGAGCAAGACAAAAGTTATTTAAACTAAAACTAGAAACTCCTGCTAATTAAGATAGAGACATTTAAAACTGAGTTTATATTTAAGGTACATAAAAATATGGTGATGGTCTTGCGACGACACAGCTAAATTTTCTTTCACCAGATGTACATTTTCTTACATTTGTAATATGTTGGCTACAGTTAATGGTGTGCCTGGCAGCTGCAGAACAGTTCACCTGGGTATAATAATTAACCAATGGTTAGTGCACTGAACTACCTACTACCTTTCCTAGGTGATTGCTCAAATGACAGGTGTTGCCATTAACCTAGGATATGCAGTTGGCCATACATATCTGTGGGTTCAGCATCCATGTAGTCAACCAACCATGGATTGAAAATATCTTTTAAAAAAATTCCATCTGTACTGAACATGCATAGACTTCTTTTTCCTTGTCATTATTACCTCAACAATACAATATAACAACTGTTTACATAGCATTTAAATTGTATTAGGTATTACAAAATCTAAAGAGGACTTAAAGTATATGGAAAGATGTGCATATATTATGACATTTTATATCAGGAGCATGAGCAGATTTTAGTATCTGAGGGAAGTCCTAGAACCAATTCCCCATGGATATCGAGGAATGACTGTATATCTGTTGACTGATTTCATAAAGAACTGCAGAGCAAAAAAATTCCCCAGGTAAAGACAGCAATACAAGAGATATATAACAAGCCGAACCTTAGTCTGTTTAACATCTTCCCTCCTGCTCTATGCTTTCCCCTCCAAAGCTTCCTGAATGAGATAGTAGAAAGGAAATGGCATGGTACTTTTCAGAGACAAATTATTTAAGGTTCCCTAAATAGAAACTTGCAAAAGGAACTGGAAGTGAAACTATGGCTGTGCCTCTGCCAGCTGAAAGTAGTATTTTTTAAAATTACTTTGAAGACAACTTCTTTTTTGTTGTTGTTAAACAACAATAGCCCAAAGGCCCAAAAGCTGAAAAAGGATGATGAAATTAAACCTGGTACTGAGGATGGCTTTTGTACATTATAGCCCCCAAACCTGTTCCAAATCACTTTCCAGTATTTATTTTTTATTGGTATAATCAACACATAATAGTCTCTTACTAAAAATTTAAGCTATACAGAAACAAAGAGAATAAAAACTAAAAGTCCACCTTCATAGTTACTCATCTACCACAAATCACCGCATTCCTTTTCCAAGGTAATGAGGGTTATGAACTTAGTGTTTATCTTTCCAGACCTTATTAGAAGATACACACTATTTATGCTTTTGCATATATGTAAATGTACACAGAAGAATATAGTTTAAAATATATTTATAAATGGGATCATACTGTACACATTTTTCTATGGCTTGCCTTTTTTTTTCATTTAATAAGATCTTTCCAAAAACATTAACACTTGTACATTTGTCTAACTCTTCTTAACTGCTGCAAAGAATTCCACATTGCTAGTAATCCACATTCTTTATTTAATCGTTCAACTCCCCAACCCCTTTTGTAGTATAGGGGCTACCCCAGACTCTTACACTTCTATTTATAATCAAATAGGCCAATTCCTGTCTTCCAAGTAGACTTTATTTCCTCAACGAAATCTCTACTGAATATCATCCTTCATTTAGGAAATCGTTTTCAGACTTTCACTAGTGGGATGAAGGTCTCATTTCCTAAGAAACGTCTTTCCCTAATAACTACCTTTCCTCTTGGTATTAATTTAAGACCTATAAAACTTAAAAGAAATCCCAAGTAACTATAAAACAATATTGAAAACTAACTTGCCATTTCAACCACCTAACACATCATGAATACTCAATGGTAAATGACAAACACGGATATATTTCTGTTTAATCTAAACCTAGAAATCAAAATAATATTTGGAGGGAATCAAGAAACAAATCTGTTCAAACAACTATCCTGAGTGACTTAGTTATTAAATGGTATTAAGAAAATTCTCAAAAAAAAAAAAAAAAAAAGAAGAAAAGAAAAGTAATTCTGCCTTCCTGCATGTAAGAACACACCAGTCTGCAACCCAGAGGAGGTCTTCACCAGAACCTGACCATGCTTGCACCCTGATCTTAGACTTCCTAGCTTCCGGAACTACAAGAAATAAATTTGTTATTTAAAAAAAAGAAAAGAAAAGAAAACTAAAAGTAATTCTGTGCAGGAAAAAAAGAGAAGAGATAAAGAAGAAAATTTATAACAATAAAAATATTTGGTTGTAAAAGGAAACCATTATACTGAACTAAAAATTGACAAGTAAATCAAGAAGGCCTAAAAGAATAGTAACTGAAATATGGGGACGGAAAGGAAAGAAGGACATAAGCACAAATCAAGTTAAGAAGTCAGTGGAAAAAAACTTTTCATTGCGAGAAGAATATAGAATCAGAGATAGACTTTCATGACTAGATAGCTTAAAATGTAAAAAGTTTTAGTTTTTAAAAAAATTTTTAAGACCCTAGCAATGTTTTTTTTTTTTTTTTGAGTGTTTACTATGTGCAACTCACTAAGATAAATTACAATCTTAAACTCACAATCTGGTGGAGAGGCTCACATATAAAGTTACAACCACAATATAAAGCATTATGCATTAACTTCTACAACAAAGATACACATTAAAAGCAGAATGGAAAGAAAGTAGTGAGAAATTAATTCTAGTTGGCAGGATAAAGGAAAGCTTAACAGGAAGTGGGTGAGTTGGGTCTCACAAATTGGGCAGGATTTTGAAAGGGATGAGAAGGACGTTCAAGGCTGCGGGGAACCTGTAAACCAAAACACAAAGGGAGGAAAGTACAGGTCATGCTTAGGAGACTATAGTCCAGACGTAAGTTGTCTGATGTTCTAGAAGCTAGAATAGAGTATGTGTGTACATGTGTGTACACACATATGCACCAACACACTTGTGTGTTTGGGGGAGGGTGGTGGATAATATCAAATAAAAGGCTCAAAAGTTAGGCTGAAGGGCCGAGCCCGTGGTGCACTCGGGAGAGTGCGGCGCTGGGAGCACAGCAGCACTCCCGCCGTGGGTTCGGATCCTATATAGGGATGACCGGTGCGCTCACAGCGCTCACTGGCTGAGCTTGGTGCGGCTGGTCTCAAAAAGGACAAAAAAATAATAATAATAAAAACTATTCAGTTGGATAAGTAACATTGTTAGAACTCTCTTACATAAATTACTTCTGGTTCCAAAACAATACTGTTTGGTAGATAGTATTACTTCAGTTAATGAGGAAATTGAGGCTTATAGGTTACGTGACTTGTTTAGGGTCAAACAGTAAGTCACAGTACTTAATCCAAACCTAGGTCTGCCTTGAATATATTGTTCTTCCCAAGCTACCTTACATTGAGCAAGGCAGCTTTCATCCCTTCCCTTTACCTACCTCTTACCAGAAATTTCCTTGTAACTTACTTTAAAAATTACTTACAAGAGCCCGTTAGGCTGAAGCTAAACTGGGGAAAGGGATGAAAAAGGTAGTATAATAAATTAGACCTATTAATATATGCTCAGATTATGGTATGGTATGTATTTTGTATCTTGTAATCTCATAACCTATAAGGTAAATATTACTATCCTTAAATTTTTCAGATAAGTTAACTATGCTTGAAGATGTT